TAGTAGCCAAGGCTGGTCTTGAACTCCTGATCCTCCTGCCTGTATCTCCAAACTGGTGTGATTACGGCAATGCATCACCACATGTAGACACAGGCAGAGGTTTATGTAAGAGCATGGAGTTTTAAAAAAAAAATTATTATTATTATTTTATGTATATGAGTGTTATGCCTGCATGTAGGTAAGTGCACCCGTGTTGTACAAATGCCGACAGAGGACAGAAGAGGCTGTCGGATCCCCTGGAACTAGAGATATGGGCAGTTGTTAGCTGCCATGTGAGTGCTGGGATTCGAACCCAGGTCTTCTGCAAGAACAGTCAGTGCTCTTAACTGCTGAGCCATTTCTCCAGCCCCGAGCATGGAATTTTATGTCATCAAAAACGCTACAAGATTATGCACAATAATATAAAAAGCAATGTTTTTATTTAGTCATAATGTTAATACCTTAATCTATTTCTAAAACGAGTCTATCTGTATACATATTTAATTTTTCTTTTTTATTAGTCTTGGTCAGCTTCCTCTCTTCTTGACAGCACAGAACCTGTGCATGTTTGCAATGTCTTCCACATTCATTTCCAGCACGTGGACTGAATTGATTCCTTGTTTCTCAATTACAACCATCATGGAATCAAGATTAATAACCTGCCTGGTGAGTTTTGTCCACTTTGGAATCTGAAGCCTTTGTGCTCTTTGCGGCCTGTAGAGTTTTCATGGTTCTTTCTCAATGCTCAGGGAGTGAGGTCAAGGGCAGCAGCAGTCCAGGAAGCCTGTTTGTTGTTATGCCACCCCCCAGCCTGTTTCCATTATTTCTTCCTCTCTTCCAAGCATCTTATCATGGTTGAGGGGAAACTGGGTGTGAATTTAACATATATTTTACCCTCTGTGCTTAGAACAATACCTGGCATGTTGGAAGTATTCAAATATTTGTGGAGTGAATAAAAACTATATAGGCCTGGTTGGGTATGGTAGCACATGCCTTTAGTCCCAGCACTCAGGAGGCAGAAGCAGGTGGATCTCTGCGAAATTGAGGCCAGCTTGGTCTCCAGAGTGAGTTTCAGGCCAGCTGGGGCCACAGGGAGACCCTGCCTTAAAAAAAAAAAAAAAGAATTATGTTCACCTGCTGGATAATGTTGTAAACTCCTAAACTGACTGCCATTGAACCAGGGCTGAAAGGATGTGGTGTACCTGACCACTAAGAGATGTGTACCTGACCACCAAGAGGCCAGACTCCTATCTCTACCACCCAGCTAGGACATGCACCTTCATAATTAGCCCCTTCCCCTCAGCATGTGATCTCTGGAGTAGACTTTACTGTGGGTATGAGATTTTTGTGACCATGGTATTTGGTTCCACTACTTAAGATCATGATAAACACTGATAAAGAGAAAAAGAGAGGCAAAGAAATTATTCTCTCAATACTTCTCTAGAACATACTTAGTGAGGGACCCAATCTGTATCTACTTAGTATAAACAGTACTAAATAAACGTGGCCCAAAATTCAAATGACTATCCTACAAGTATTCTATGCACCAAAGAGTGTCAACTGGCATGTCTGACTCTCATATCATTCTCTCTCTCTCTCTCTCTCTCTCCCTCCCTCCCTCCCTCCTTCTTCTGCTCCTCCTCTTCCTCTTCCTCCTCCCCCCAATTCCAGACTGGCCTTTGACTTGCTATGTAATTGAGGTTGACCTTGAACTTGTGATCCTCCTGCCTCTGCCTCCCTACTGTTACAACGCCATGGCCATTAGGGGACTTGATTTCAGTGAAAAGGAAGATCTCAGAGTAGAGATGGTATTCTTTTGTGTTTGTTTTGTTTTGTTTGAGACAGGGTCTCCCTGTAACCCCAACTGGTCTGGTACTTGCTATGTAGCCCAGGCTGGCCTCCATTTCAGAGAGATCCACCTGCCTCTGCCTCCTGAGTACTGAGATTAAAGGTATGCATCACCACACCCAGATGGTACTCTTTATCACAGAAGGAATGGAGAACATGTCAGCAGGCAGAGAAGTTATTAATGTACACAGAAATTATAAAATAGTAATATGATATCAACTGCACACACATACCCACACATATATGTATATGTTGAACCTATTATCCAATTATTTCTCTGATTTCTGTTTTGTCTGTTATTCCTGGCCTCCAAAGCCATGACTATGAGCCACTTTAACCAGACAATACAATTTTTAAAATTTTTAATAGAATTTTTGTGATTTTCATACAATATAGTTTGATGCTATTTAGATCCTCTCTCCTATCTGTACCTTCCCTTACTGTGCCCCAATTTAATGCACATATATATATATGTATATATTTATGTGGCCTACAGAGTCTAATTTGTGTGCCCAATTCTCCTTCAGCAGATCTATCCACTAGAATCTGGTTAACCTACCAAGAGTCATATCCTTGAAAAAATACTGACTCTCCCCTTCCTAGCAGCCATCAGTTGCCAATAGTTTCTCAAGCAGAGTTGGGGCCTCTTACCAACTTCTTTATATCTATGCTGGGATTTTGCCTGGTTTTTGCTTGTATGGGACTTGTGCATGCTGTCACCATTGCTGAGTTCATATGAGTAACTGAACAGCTGTCTGAAAAATTCTATCTCCTTGTGGTCATCCACTACCTCTGGCTCTTTGAATCTTTCCACCCCTTCTTCCACAATGATCCCTGAGCCTGGGGAGGCAGAAGTTTGATACAGGTGTCCTGTTCAGGAATAAGCACTCTGCAGCCTGTTGTTATCTGCACATTGGTCACTAGTGGGTTTCTGTGTTAATCACCATCTACTGCATAAGGAAGCTTCTCTGGTGAGAGATGAGAGATCCATTAATCTTTGAGTATAACAATAAGTCATTAGGAGTCAGTTTAATACTATAATTATTTAGTAGAAAACTGGTATTAGACTCTCTCATGTGCCCTGTGATTTGGCTAGCCTCAGGTTCCTATGCCTCATATCAATGTCAGGTATAAGCTCCGCCTGATGAAGTAGACCTTAAATCCAATTAGAAAGTGGTTGGTTACTCTAAAATTTTTGTGCCACTATTGCACCGGTGAGCCTGTCTTTCCAGGCCAGTTGTTCTTCTAGTTCACAGGATTCATAGCTAAGTAAGATTGATGATTATTTGTTCCTTCTGGTGGCATGCACAGCACCTTCCAGCACTATGAACTAGCCATTAGAGAGAAAACTTCAAAGTTAGTACCAGCTTGATTTCTTCTTGTTTGTTCTATAGCTCATGTATGTAGTGTCTTCAGCAATAGGATTTTTACCTCGAAGTTCTGGTAGGTAACCAAGATCTGGGACAATGGCCAGTAGTGTTTGAAGGTCTATGAGACCCCTGGTCAATAGCTCCAAGAGAAGGGGTCCATTCCAGACACTGGAGTTTTATTTTGTCAGCCTGTGGTGTCTGGTAGGGGCAATGTCCCCCTGTTGTAAGGTAAATCCTTTCAATCTCTTTTTATGATGTATATGTATATACTTGCTTTTATGGTGGTATGTTTTCGTATGTTTTTTTCTAAAGGCCCTTTTAGCAAACACAATTTTTAAAAAGCATGTTTTTTTCTGGGATACATTAGAGGATCTAATAGAGGTATTTCCCTTTATTCCTCAGGTTTTTGGCAAACAAGTCACCTCTACCAGACGGCAGATTTTTTTTATGTCCATTCTTTGTCAGTTAATAATTAAAATTAATTTTAAAATGAACTACCATCTGACTCTAGAATGTTGTCACACTGATGAACAGAGAATATGGTCATGTATCGTGTATTTTTAAAAAGATTGGGAAGAAATATGAAGTTGAAGGAGTTTTTAAAAATATACTTTTGTGATGACTAGTGTTAACTGTCAACTTGATGGAAGCTAGAATCATCTGAGAGATGAGCCTCTGGACATTTCTGTGGGAGATTATTGTAATTACATTAACTGGGGTGGGAAGACCCACCCATTGTTGGTGACAGCATTTCCCTAGGCAGAGGATCCTGGACCATGTAAGAGTGGAGAAAGTGAGCACAGCACTAGCATGCATGCGACCATTGCTCTCCTCTGACAGCAGATGTCATGTACCAGCTGCTTCAAGTTCCTGCTGCCTTGATTTCCCCAAGTAACTTCCTTAAGTTGCTTTTGTCAAGATGTCTTTATCACAACAACAAGAAAAGATACTAAGACATCATTCTATAATTTTACCTATTGTCAGCTAATATTCAGGCAGTGCTGTGTATCAGCATAGACAAGAGGAAAGATAATCTTGGTGTACTTAAGTGTAAGCAATATGTACAATGCTCTATTAAATACAAATGTTTCCCTCCAGGTATATAACCTGTGCTCCAACATATAGATACATATTTTAATTTTTGTTGTTCATTTCCTTCCAGCATATGGATGGTCCTATTAATCTGAACATTTGATAGCAAGAAGCAAGTTGTACGACTACAAGGACATGCAGTTAATTTGCATTTACTGAGCACATCTATGCAGCCAGATACTGTTTTTGAGTAATTTAGTTTTCTGAAAAAGAGAGTAGAAGAAAGGAGTGGGGAAGTTTTAGATGAGCTACATGTTTTGTTTCGAAGAGTAAAAGGAAGGAGACAGAAAGTCAACCAAGCACGCTGAAGACTATTAAGTGCTGACTGGAAGGGATTCAAAATGCCCACCTGGGAAATGTCCGATTCAACCAGGACAGAGGAGTGGTTCCCACCTGGGCTTGGAAAGGTGACTTTTCCCTCGGTTATTCCGCTTGCCTAATTGCAGCTGACCCTGTACAATGGGACTTTGGGATCTTTCTCAGGTCTAGGAGCAGCTGAGTCGCCCCTTGCTGAGGAAGAAAGTCCGCCTCCCACCACCAGCACCTGCTATAGGCGCCCATCCCCGCCCCCTGGGCTCCGCCCCCACGACCCCGCCCCGCCCCTGACATTCCAGCCCCGCCTCCGCGGGCTCCGGCCCCGCCCCTCAGGCGCGGGCCAATGGGCTGGGCTCCAGGGGGCGGGCCAGGGAGGGCGCGAGGCGCGAAGCGGGGGCGGAGCGTCGGGGGCTGGCGCGGTCGTGGCGGTAGCTGCGGAGGTGGCGGCTGTGGCTTGGCCGGGAGTCCCGGACCCGGCGTGGGGGATGGGGCGGCGAGCTCCAGCCCGCTGAGGCGGCGGCGGCCGAGAGCGAAGTTCGTCCGGGACGCGGGATGGAGCCCCGTGGTGAGTGATGGGTGGCTCAGGGCTGGTGGCCGCGGACGCTTTGCCGTCCAGGTTCGGGGAAGCCCTGGCGGAGGTGGCCGCAACTACGTCTGGGCTCTCGGGGCTCGAAGTCCTTCCCGAGGCTGGTCAGGGGCCAGGGTCGCCGAGGAGCAGGGACGTCGCGGACCCCGGTGCCCGCCGGGAGAGAGGCGTAGGGCAGCCCGTGTCCCTCTCCCGCGCGCGTCGCCGCCCTGGGGACCTCGGGCTCGGGAGCCTCCCCCGCTGGCTTCTTTCTGGGGTCTTCCCGTCCATCTTTCCCCTGGGACCGTGTTTGGACGTTTGGTGACGTTTTCCGAAGTCGCGCAGTGGCCAAGGCTGAGGTGGAGGGACAAACCCCGCCAGCTCCCCGTCGCTTTTTCTTGTGACACTTCACCTCATCCCTGGCTGTTTGTCGCGGGCGGGGGAGCTCAGAGGTGCAGAAACACCCTCCTCCCCCCCGCCCTCCTCCCCCTGTCACTCTCCTCTTGCATTCCTTCCGTCCGGTTCACCCTTCTCGCAGCTGTGGCCCTAGGGTAGGTCGGGAGGGCGCTCTGCAGAAGGAGACTCGATGAACAGAGAGATTGCAGCTATGACAGGGGTGTGTGTCCCTGTCCGTTTATTGCCCAGGATGTCCAAGGACTTTGTCTTTGATGAAAATCTGGTGTCCTGGAGGAGGATCTGGCGTTACGGAAATCAAATAGCTCAAGGCACTGCTTGCTTGGCGCCCTTATGACAACGTGTGAGTTTATCTCACTTTTTACCACTATCCTTCTGTAGGGGTCAAGGATTGGGTTCAGCACCACCTTCCTTAACACCCTCTAAGATGTGTTTTTTTAGAAGGGGAGGAGAGAAATGTTAGGTGTTTGGTGAAAGTTTCAGTACCACAGTGAAGCCCAAGCAGGTTTTGTTTTGTTTACTTTCTTCTTTCCTCTTATTTGGAAATCCACATTGCCCTCTCATTGAGTTTGGGAAAGGGGGTTCCTTTCTTTAGGAAAAAGAATTCAAAATCAGATGAAGGAATAGTTAAAACGAATAAATAAATCTCAGCATAGTATGGGGTCTGGAAGTTTAGGTCCTTTTCTTCCATGATTTCTATAGGCAATTTGCCAGAAATGACTGCTCAGAAATGCTCTAAGGACTGTGCAGGTAGTGAGCCCAGACTTAAGCCGCGTTACCTGGGTAGTAGCTCTGGTCTCAGTTTGGGAAGTGAACCTGAGTAAGGTAGGCCCAAGTAGAAAATGTTTCAGCCCCGAAATGGGCAAGAAGTGGAACTTTGGCTAACATGAAGGCTGCTAACTGTTCAGGGAATATTTGACTGTTATTCCCATTTCTCTCAAAATGAGCATCCACCTGAATTACCAGCTCCTTCACATCTCCCCTTAAAAGCCCTTGACCTAGGAATGTGGGCTTTTACAGCAAGTGCTGTTGATCCCAAGGGTTTAGTACTATGTTGAATAAAGTTCATGCCCAGAAGACATCTGGGAAGGATTTTCATGCTTGTGCCATTGGTGACATGTTAAGCATTCACTCAGAAAACTCAACAGGATCTCCTATGCTAGACAGCCCTGTAGAAGCTTTCCATCTACAATGTGGCAACAGACAGTATGGAATAAGGTCCAAGGCTTAAGATTATGGGTGCCTGGAAGGAAAGAAATGTGCTGAATGCCCCATGGGAAAGTAGAGGGATGATTATTTTCAGTGGAGAGACTGAAAAATTTTTTTGGAAGAAGTGTTTTGTATGAGTTTAAAGGCTCAGAGGATGATTTTTAATAAGCATAGAGAGTAAATGGGCACTCCTTTGTAGAGCTGCAGGTTATTTCTAATAGATAAGAGGATGTCATTGATCCAGTTTACATATTTCTGCTTTAAAATCTTAAAAGCTACTTTGCTTGGAATTTTTTAAAATTTTTATTCCCTTTCAGCATGGTGATGGGCCACATACATAAGCAGCACATTCTAGCCAGACATCATATTTGTGTGTAAAGACACAAGGTGGTTTAAAAGGAAGGTTAGCAGCATATTCTGACATGATAAAGATTTTTTTGTGGAACATTTTCGTTTTATGTTTCTCTTTATTACTGTGATAAAGAAATGAGCCACGTTATTCAGAGAGTAGACACTGGGTGATACTGCCCCCTTAGATAAGAGCCTTTCTCTTCAACTGTGTCTCACAGTAGGTTCTTGAGAAAGTTCGCGGATACCACAATCTTCTTTTTAGAGGAAAAAGGTAAAAGATATTTAAACATGTTTGGAAAAGTATTAAGGAAGGAGTAAGAGTTTCAGAGACTTTTCAGAGGAACCTCACACAGTTTTGCATATAATTTATCTGTCAGAGTTTTGCTTAGTGAGTTAGATTTGTGTGTAGCTGTCTGGCTCCTGAAGGGCATTCCACGGACAGTTGGTTGGGTCAGTCCTGAGTGCATATTATTATGTACTTCGCTAGGGAAAACGAAGGGGAGAATGAAGGGAACGGAATGATACAGTGAGATAGCCAAGAGTAGATCTGTTGGGGAAGCTCCTTGAAAAAGCAAAACGGATTTTTGTTTTATTTTGGAAAAGTTCAAACACATATGAAAGCAGACCAAATAAGATAACGAATCCCCTGTACCCAGCCGTGATTCTCCAGGGTATCAATTCATCATCAGTTTTTTTCTTTTGTTTCTTTCCTCCTACTACTGGAGATTGAGCCTGGGGTCTCAAGCATGCTAGGCAAGTGCTCTACTATGAAGCAATACCCTCAATGCCTTTAATAAAATGTCTTTTATTTTGAGACAGGATTTTGCTAACTTGCTGTCCTGCCTCAGCCGCTGAATGAGGGGGATTACAGGCATGCATCACCAAACCTGCTCAATCTTTCATTTCTATTCCCGTTCATTTAATTCTCCATATAACTTTGAAGTGAATCCTAGACATCATATTATTTTATCCATAAATATTCCTTATGACCAGCAGTATCTCATTGTAATTTAAATTAGCATTTTTCTGATATTACTGAACATTAATTCCAGTGCTTAGTGCCTAGTTGTGTATCTCCTTTTGCAATGCTTTTCTTCACTATTCATTAATTTGAATTTTTTTACTTACTAATTTGTCAAAGGTCCTGACATAATTTAGATACTAATCCTTTGTCAAATATTTCCTACAATTTATGGCTTACATTTCATATTTTAACAGTATCTTTTAAAGAAGAAAAGTTTTAAATTTCATCCAGTTTGCCAGTGTTTTCTTTTATGGTTCTTGATTTTTGGATTTGCCTGAAAAATTATCCTCCGTGTTTTTGCCTGTATTTTCTCCTAGAAAAAGATCCTGAAACAAAAAAATATTTTTAAATTCACTTTATTTTAATTTATGTGTATGAGTGTATTGCCTGCATGTATGAAAGTGTACCGCATGCATGCAATGCCCACAGAGGCCAGAAGAGGGTGTTGGATACCCTGGAACTGGAGTTATTGATGGTTGTTAGCCACCATGTGGGTGCTAGAAATCGAACCCGGGTCCTCTGGAAGAACAGTGAGTGTTCTTAACCACTGAGCTATCTCTCTAGCCCCCTGAAACTTTTTTTTTTTTATAGGAAAGAGATAGTAAATATTTCAGGCCTGCAGGCCTTACTGACTCAAGTGCTGAACTTTATTCTTGTAGATGAAAAGCAACTATATACACTACATAAATATGATTATGTTCCTAAAAATCTATTTATGAAAACAGGCAGCTCCTCCCTAAAATACCCATCATGTAAATTTTAGGATTTACTATGAAATAAACATTGAGGTTAATTTTCGTTCCTTATGGGTATCAATTACTTATTAAAAGACTACTTTTTCTCTCTCATAAATCAGTTGGCCATATATATTTGTATTACTTCTGGACTCTGTTCTATTGCTCTGTAGGTCACTATACAAAAATCACACTATCTTGATTCCTGTAGCTCTATGGTAAGCCTTGAAGTCAAGCCATTTATATTCCCAGCCTTTTCTTTTTAAATCCTTTTCATTGTTTCATATAGTCAATATTGTAATATAAATTTTAGGCTCAGCTTGCCAATTTTTGCAAAGCAAAACAACAACAATAAATCCCCAAAATAAACAATAGTCTGGAAGGATTTTGTTTGAGATTGCTTGAAACTATCAATTTGAGGTAGGAGAATTGGCATGATTTCAAGGCCAGCTTGGACCACATAGTAAATACTAGATGGTCTAATTTCATTTCTATTGTTGTGATAAAACACCCTGACCAAAAACAACTTAGGAGAAGAATGGGTTTATTTCACTTACAAGTCCAGGTTACAGTCTTCATAGAGGGAAGGTCAAGGCAGGAACTCAAGCACTAGTCATATCACATCCATAGTCAAAAGCAGAAAGAAATGAATAGATCCTTGCTTGATTTGCCTACTGCTTTCACCTAGCATTTTCCTGTCCTGTATAGTTGAGGAGCCCCTGCCTAGGGAATGGTGCCACCCACAGTGGGCAGGGTCTTCCTACATCATTTAACAATCAAGACTATCCTCCACAGACATGCTCACAGACCAACCTGATAAAGAAAATTACTTGAGACTCTCTTCCCACGTGATTGTAAATTGTGGCCAGTTGACATTTAAAACCGACCAGCATACTAGGTAGGCTACAAGATGAGAGCTTGTCCAAAAAAAAAATTTTTTGAGTTTTCTTATTCATGAAAATGGTATATTGTCAATTTAGTCACTTAATTTATTGCAATAGTGTTTTTAAAGATTTATTTTTATTTTTAATTATCTATATGCATGTGTGTCTTTGTACATATGTGCAGGTGTCCACAGAGGCCAGATGGCATAGGATACCCGTGAGGTGGAGTTATAGGAGGTTGTGAGTCACCCAACATGGGTGCTGGGAACTGAGTTTGGGTCCTCTGCAAGAGCAGTATGTAGTACTCTTAGCTGCTGAGCCATCATCCTAGTTCTGTGGTATTTTACAGTTTTCAATTCAGCATTCTGCGCAAGTTTTGTTCAG